AGTCGAATGTTAATGCAATTATGTATTCAGCTTGCAAAGATACCTGATTCTGACAAGTAAGATTTATCTCTTGACTTTATTTACGTTATCTAATTGATTTAAGTCATTCACGTACGTTTCTTCAGAAATAAATGAAGAACAAGTAAATGTTATAATAATATGTAAACATTATAAAAGATATTATAATATGATTATGTTTTATTTATAGAAAATACTTACGTGATTCTGAAAGAGAACAATTATCTCGTCAAGCTTTAACTCTTTGTTTACAATCTTTAAGAAGTAGAGTACACACAATGGGTTCACCAAGTACTATGGACAGTGTACATCTCATAAGAACCGATTCAAGAACTCAAGTTTTATTGGATGTATATAAAATATATCAACAAATTCAAAAACACTTTCAAACTAAGGAACAGACTGTACAAGCATTCTCTTCATTATTAATCGACACATATAAAACTTACATTGGCAATAAAGTAAGATATGAAATAGTATTTTTTTTTTTATAGATAAGACGATCCAAATGTCAAATGATAAGAAGCTTGTTATCAAAAGTCTATAAACACTTGTATATTATGATATAATGTTAGATATGTTTTGATACCTTTTGATTGAATGATTTTGTTTTTTTATACAAATGTTTATTATTTTTCAGAATTTAGATGGAAATATTTTGGAAATGGCTATTAAATGTTGTCAACGACAGATATTAGCTAATAAAATAGCTGCAACACAAAGTAATCCTGGAAATACTACATTGCCAACTTCAACTGCATCTTCAACACCGGTAATTTTTATATTTATTAAATTATCGAGTAATAATATTTCTATATTTTATTATTATTATTATTATTATTATTATTATTATTATTTTGTACAGGCTACAACATCTCAAACACAAGTTAATTCAACGTCACCTCAAGCATCTCAAAATCGCAAACCTTACAAGAATTTAACATCTACAGGTAGACCAAGAGGAAGACCACCCAATGTTAACAAATATTTACAGGCAATGCAACAAGGTGACAATATGAATCAATTTAATCCTAAGAATATTTTTACAAATTATATCGGTACACCAGAAAATCCAGCGCTCATGAATCCCTATTTTATGAGTCCATTAATGGATCCAAGCATGTTCTCAGCAATGATAGCTAGTTTGAGCGGTAACATGATGGCTCCTGTGCCAGGGATTGGGAACTATTTAAATCGAATAGGAAATTACCAGGATTATATTACTAGACAATATCAAAGAAATCTATCATCAATATCTAATCTAACTAACAGTTTAAACAGTACTACTGCTACAGTACCCAGTAGTATTAGTAACATACAAACAATGACTAGTACATCCAATACTAACACAACTACACCTACTACTATTAACAATCTCACTAATATTAGCACATTAACAGTGCAGCAAATATTGAATTTGACAAATTCTACTGTTCAAAATACACGATCACCACCAACGTATCATCAAGCAACTACAACAACGACTAAAACTGCTACAACTATGTCAATGACTAAAGATAGGCCGAATATATCTATTACTCCAGTAAGTACAGCATTGCCTCAAAAGAGCAAACCTAGTAGTAGTAGTAGTAGTAGTAGTAGGCCAACTACACAAGCTGATGCATTACCTGTTAATATTCCAAAGTCTCTTCAAATTTCACAGGCTTCTAAAACTTCTCATCCTTCTACAGCACAGGTTTCGCTTCTTAAGCCATCTATCATTCAACAAGTTAAAACAAGCCCACCAAAACAAATGACTGCCCCTCAAATTCGTGTTTCAAAATCATTAACCGAACCTCAACCTGCGCATAATCCTTCATTATCGCATGCACCCTTGAAAAGTACCAATCCATCGAGTTCAAGTGTAGTACCACAAGTAGCACATGCATCGATTAGTCAATCTTTGAATTTAAAGCCATCGTTACCAATGAATTTACCAACATCTCGATCAGGTACTTCATTGCAACATAAATTATTATCGAAAAAGAATTCACAGAGACCGTATCCTGTATATCCACATGGTTCATCGAAAAAACAAAAGTCGATAAATAAAGGTGTATCAATTATGTCAAGTAATTTTCCCAATATGGTAAATGCTATGGCAGGTAATTCATCGTTAGGACAAGCACCTTTTATGCCTGCTGAATTAAGTGGTATATCAGTAAGTCCAGTACCACAAACAGGAATAAAACCATCATGTGCTAAAACCACTAATTACAAAAGACCCTCAAGTAAATCTAAATCCAATATAACGGATGTAACAAACCCATTGACAAATTCATTTCCACAAACGACATCTGCGGAAGCACTTTCCATGTTGTCTCAGTTACAACAACATTCACATTTAGAAATAATACCTCAACAAAAAAATCCTCAACAATTGAAAACAAACGTTGATTTTACGAAAAATCATTCTCCTACGGTTAATGTTGTTCCACAAAAGAAACTTGTTTCTGAACCATTGAGACAACAAACAAATTCCGATTGTATGACGTTGTATGATTTGACAAGAGGAAAGTCTGTAGCTAAACCAGTCGATAAATTTGCAAATGATAGTGTAGAAATTATTACGTTAGATGATTAAAATATAATTATATAATATTATCGATCGCTTTGTCATAATAATGTAATTAATTTTTCCATTTCGTCTCTTTTGTTATTAATCTCTATATATATATATATATATATATAAATATAAATGTTATATAAATTATATAATTAAGTAAAATTAATGATATTAGCACAAGTCAATCGTAATAAGAGTATATTTGATCTATTTAATAAATAATTCATTTACTTTGAAATCCTTCGTTAATAAACAAACAAACAAAAATAAGCAAAAATTATATATTTATACAATCTGAATAACAATGATTGTTAAATGTTAAAGACTGAATTATTGTAAAAGATATTATATACAGTAATATCATTTTCAAGATAATCAAGTTTAGTAAATTGTGATTTATGAATGATTTTCTTTACAGAATGTATTCTAATTGAAAACATTTGTTTCGCATTGTTTTAACGAAGGATTTCAAAGTAACGATTTAACTTTTACGAATAAATATATTTATAAAAATTATAATATCTTTATTAATTGTTTATTTTTCATACAAATGTATATACCATAGAAAAGAGATGTCATCTAAAAAAAAAAAACAAAAACATGTATTATTAAAAAAAAAAAAAACAATTCATATTTAAGTCAGTATTTTGTATGTGAAACAACTATACGTTTGAAATTGATAAGCTTATGTGTGTAATCTTATGTATATTAATAAAATATATATGTATATGTATATGTATATATATATATATACATATATATTTATTATTATTATTATTATTATTATATATATATATATATATATTTATTTTGGAGTTATAATTTTTATCCTATAAATTTTGAACGCGAGGCTGATGATTATTCATTTCATGTATTATTAATTGAAAGAAATATTCAATAATTTGATTAAATTATTATTTTTTTTTTTAATAAACGATAGGAAGGAGGAGGGTCAGTCAATTTTAAAATTCATATAAAAAAAAGACGAGAAAGAATGATTTTCATTTAATAATATTTTATAATTGATTATTATTATTATTATTTTATCAATAACTTGAGCATTATTTACATTTAAAAATTTGTTCACATTTATGAGAAAAGCATTCAGCATATTTATTTATTACTATTTAACATTGATTTCAAATAATTTTAATTATTATTATTATTATTATTATTATTATTATTATTATTATTATTTTATTCATTTAAAATAACAATAATTAATTTTGTTTGAAAATCAATACAATTATTTATCGTAAACATTTATTTTGGAAACAGCTTCATTTTATAATTACATATTAATTATTTATATGTAATATAAAGTTTGTTGAGATTATAATGAATAAAATATACATTTTATATATATAATAAATAAAAATTAGAAATAAAACATAAAATATATAATAATTTTTTAGATTATTAACTTGAAACTAATTTTTATGTTAAAAAACAGCATTCACAGATGTGCTTGAACAATATTTGTTCTTTGTACTTTCTATAGCTCAAACATATGAAATCATAAATTTAAACAAAATGACTAGAAAATAAAATAATACATTTTTACATAATATTAATAAATATAATAATAAATTACAAAGTAATAAACAGAAATCAAATTATAATTTGAATAAAAATAAACTTCTTTGGGACAGTGAAGTCAGATCGCGGAACATTTCTACCCCTTCTCTCGAACCCAGCACGCCTCGCACACAACGTAGTGTTACGTGTCGGTGTGTCGGGAAACCGAAAGAAGCCGAGGGAAGCCGAGATAGCTGCGCGAAGGAGAAATAATACCCCCACCACGCGCCGCGGAGAAATACATGAACACAATACATATTGTAATACATACATTGTACAATATATGTGTAGATGTGTATATATGTGTTTATATGTGAATTGTGTCCATGAATTTCTCCGCGGCGCGTGGTGGGGGTATTATTACTTCTCTGTCGCGCAGCTATCTCGGCTTCCCTCGGCTTCTTTCGGTTTTCCGACACACCGACACGTAAATTTTGTTGTGTGCGAGGCGTACTGGACTCGAGAGAAGGGGTAGAAATGTTCCGCGATCTGGCTTCACCAGTGCTGTCAGATCGTGGGTAAATCTTACCCTCTCCCTGTGCCACTGGGATTGCACACAATGAAAGTTTTCCATGTCCGTGTGTTTGGGATGTCGAGGAAAGCCGAGTGTAACCGAAGTTGGCGGTTGGCCACGAAGTGGCACACTATGAAA